CCTATCTATCTATACACACACACACACACACACACACACACACACACACACACACACACACACACACACACACACACAACTATCCATCCCTGGATTAGAGAGTAATAATAGAAAAAGTACATGTTGACAGCTGGAGTGTGTCTGAGCATTTGTGTGTAGGCATCCCTGCCTTCTGTAATGGCCCTCACACCAAGGAGATGCTCCAGAAAATAACAAATGTGGAACATTAGCCATTCTAGCCACTGATGAAGTTACACAGCTCATTTACAATGTGTCATATCCTGTGATGGCATGCCCATTATTCAGTGCCATGCTAAGCTGACAAGCTGATTATTTATGACTGTGTTTTTCTAAAGACAACAGGATTGTAGATAGCAATAAGGATACAGGACTGCCACATTCTAGTAATGGTTTAGTTATTTTTATTTTGGACTAGAGGAATTGGGCTAGTGACTATAAGGTCACTCTAGGGAAACATGTCATGGCATAGTGATTTAGGTTCAGGATATCTCAAGGCTTTGATTTGAACAATTGTACATAGCCCTAGCATAATTTGCTTGGAAGACACAGGGGTTCGGTGTGATTGTTGAGTGCCTTCTCATCCTTTTTCAGTGGGAGTGAACCTATGGACCCATATACCAAACTCTGCTGCAAAGGTTTTTGCATTGACATCCTAAAGAAACTAGCCAAGACTGTGAAGTTCTCCTACGATCTCTACCTGGTGACAAATGGGAAACATGGTAAAATAGTGGATGGTTTCTGGAATGGCATGATTGGTGAGGTAAGGAATTAGGTAACCTAAAAGCCTCATTGTTTGGATTTTAACCATGTACACCTACTGGTTTAGTACACTGGTATTTGTCAGAAATTCTCCCATGTGGAGAAAATAAAAGCAGACATGCAACTTTGTTTCTCTTCTAAAGTTATCCCAAAGATGTTTTTTTTCAGGAGGCAACAGGACTTCTTTGTTTTTTCTTTTGAAGACATTTCGCTTCTTATACAAGAAGCTTCTTCAGCTCTGACAGGATAGTGGGGAATGGAAGGATTTATATTCCTTGCAGACAGCTGGTAATCTGCATCCTTTTAGAGGGTCATTGAAGCTCTTGGGGTTTTTTCTGTGTCCTCGGGGTCACCTCTGTAGTACTCCTGGTTTCTGTAGTCTGCAATTTTTTCCTCTGGAAATCCATTCCTACTCCCACACCATTCCAAGGGTGTTCATCCCAAATTGTATAGCTAGAAGTCTGTAGAGATTCTCAATCATCCAGGTCGTGGTTGTCCCAAAGGCGCTTTTTTAGGAGGCAATTGGATTTCCTTGTTTTTTATTTTGAAGATGTTTCACCTCATCCAAAAAACTTCATCAACTTCTAAGTTACCTCCTGAGAAAGCACCTTTGGGACAACTATGACCTGGATGACTGAGAAGGATTGCATAAATTTAGAGACTTCTAAAGTTATGCAATCCTTCTAAACTGTAGCACGTACATAAAAGCTGACTTAGCTTAAACCAAAGCCAATGAATTATTATTACTTCACTGCACATACATCATTCTTGCATTCCTCAACAAGAAAGAAGACCCACCATTCAGTAGTCCTCAACTTTGTCTGTGGGCTTCAGCCTTCAGACATGGCAGCCTTAAGAAGATGGCTTTACAAATAGGGAGTTATTCTCTTTCCTGGGGAAATTTGTGGAATGTGAAATGGAGCTAGAATCTTATAGTCAGGTTGGCATTGAGATATGCTAACCGGGGAGTGAAGTCTCTTGTCTTTCGATAAGCATGTGTAAAAGGCATACCTTCCATTACATGCAACTTAAGAGTCTGTCTTCATCTCTGCTGCTCTGCAATTAGGCCATCCTTTGAATAGGATAATGGGCTACTTGAGTGTCAAGAGCCCTACCTCTTGGTGCTGATTGGGATATTTAGACAGACTTCTAATCTGGCAGCATGGTTTAGGATTTCTCACCTAAGTGAATGGCAGGGGACAGATTTCTCTGTACTGCCTGAAAAGAAACAGGAAAAAAAAGAGATGTTGCACTTTGCGGTTCTCCTCCTGTTTTGTGTTAGTCCCAGAAGGAAATCTTAATCCTTCTGAACTGGATGTCTATTCAGAAGCATTTCAAGAACCATCTATAAGAGAAAATGGACAGAGTTGTGAAAGAGTCAAGCATCACACTATTTCTGGCAGATCTATTTTTTGCTTGTGTCTCTATTGAAAAGACATCAATGGCATTCCTGACATGCAGAAGGGAAAATGGAGTTGGGATGCCGATATATGGTGGGGAATTGTTTCTTGATGGTGAACACAATTTTAAGGGTTGGACTCATCCAGATACAGACATTTTCAATCAACTACATTTTCAATTAAGTACTCTTCTTAAGTACATGAACACTTGATCTGAAGTAATGGTAGTATTATTCTCTCTTTAGGGTTGCCATGCAAAGAAGTCTCTTTGAGGGTACAATCTTTTTCCCCCCTTGAAAATAAATCCGACAGAGTTCTGTGCCTCTTATCCCGAAGCAAGTCAGCGTAGACACAAAGGTTCATCCTCAACAGGGGGCAGCACCCACCTCATCTTGTCTGAGCTTGGAAGGGTTGGGCCTGGTTAAAATTTGAATTGGGAGACCTCCAGAGAAAATAACAGGACTGTGGGCTAGATTGGGAAGTTTTAAAAAGAAGTTGTGGAAGAAGACAACAGGAAACCATTTGTTTATTTAACATAATTGTGTGGCTGCTCATCTTGAAGCACAACTTTGGCTCAAAGACAACCAAACCATGTACATACATACTGTTTCCAAGAAACCATATTGATGTATTCACAGACTCACCAAGAGTCACAATTGAAATTCAGCTCATATTTACCTTTTCTCCCTTTAATTTGCTACGATTAAAATAAAAGAAAGCACACATTTATCAGTACAGTATAAGATCCATTTGGAGCTGGTTCTGTTGAAGGACATTATTATTTATGCTCCCCCCCCCTGTCTGTTCCTCAATCTCCCAGGTATATTACAAGCGAGCAGATATGGCCATTGGGTCCCTCACGATCAATGAGGAACGCTCACAAATTATTGATTTTTCTGTACCTTTTGTGGAGACGGGCATTAGTGTCATGGTAGCCAGAAGCAACGGGACTGTCTCGCCTTCTGCTTTTCTAGGTAAGAGCAAACAAACTTATGCTATAAACACTAAAAAAAAAGTGACATTTGTAACAGAATATGGAATGCTTCTGCGTTAGTTGGTTATAGAAGGTCACTTTCATTGTCCTTTTCATCTCATTTCTTGACTATTGTAATTTCTTCTACATGGACTGCACTTAAAGACCTCTTGGAACCTACAGCTGGTTCAAAATGTGGCAGCTCATGTACTGATGGGCTCTCTCCCTGTTACCCATGTGTCTCCTCTGTGGCAGGAGTTTATTGATTATCAGTTGACTTCTGGGTGCAATTCAAAGATAAATATTAGCTTTAAACCTTATAGTTTTGGATCTGAGTATCTTATGAGGCTGCTTATTCCAATTGTTTTCTGCCTATCCAGTGAGAATTAATAGAGGGGCACCCTGAGAATATCAGTGATACCTTGGTTTTCCCTTTCTCTGGAACAGTTCATCTAGGATGAGGTGGCTCAGTGGTTAGAATGCAGTACTGCAGGCCACTTCTGCTCACTGCTCTCAGCAGTTTGGCAATTCAATTCTCACTGGCTCAAGGTTAACTCAGCCTCCCATCCTTCCAAGGTTGGTAAAATGAAGAGCCAGACTGTTGGGGGAAATATGCTGACTCTGTAAACTGCTTAGAGAGGGCTCTAAAGCACTGTGGTGTCTAAATGCTAAGTGCTATAAAGTCCCATCCCTGTTGTATTTCAGAGACCTGGCTCTTTTGTAAAGCATTTGAGGATGCCATAGATAATTGAGTTGCTCCTAAGGATGAATGAGAATGCCAGTTCTTGGCTTTTATTTGACTGTTGTTTAATGTTAATTTTCAATCTCAAGTTTGTAATTTAATATTATTTTGTTGGGAAATTGTTAACTACTCAAAGTCTCAGGATAGGAGCTGCCTATAATCTCAAGCAAGTAAGAAAGTAAATATACATTGATATGTCCTCTGTCCCCTTTCCTATATTGAGCAAGCTCAGTCCCTATTGAATTGTTTTAAGTTTTGGTTAAATCACTTTTACACAGTTATTTCTAAGTATTTGGGGGGCATGCATAACTTATGCTTTGATTGCTTAAGGAATACTGCTCATACCTGCAATAAAAAAGGAAGGAAAAGATGTACTAATGTAAATTTATATGAGATGAAGAGTTTTGACTTGCAATATTAACATATGGGTAGATGTTTAATATTCCCTAGTTTAAATTTTCAGCATGAAAATAGCGATTTTGGGAATAGAAATATTTTCTAAAACACTGTTTTTGCATATGTCACACTTTGGGCATTAAAGTTTAAATAATACAACAATATTCTGTTTTTTGCCATCATATTGCTGTTATTACTTCTAAGCCACTTTTCATTACTTGCTTCTTAAAGCATTAATATAGATTATCTGGAGATTGGGGATTCACATAATGAATATCAAATGTTGCATACCTAATAAAATTTGGATATTTTAATTGTGGTCATTGGGAAAAAAACAAAGGTAATTGGATATGAAGGCACTTTGAAATAATAGAAAATACTTGTAGTTCAGGTTTTAGATTTTGGCAGTGGTGTGCTTTCCAAGCTTGTTTCAATTTATTTTCTGAACTTTTTGTTACCAGACTAGGTAACATCACCAACAGGATTTTCTTGTCCCATTCTCCTCTGCTTATAAATAGCTTGCATATAAAGGCACTTCTTCTTGCATGTAACCAAGTATCATACAGCGAGGAGCATGACAGGCAATGCAGCATAGTTAAACATTGGATTATGTGAAGATACCAGTAAATGGCTTTAACTGAGAATGAGAAGGACAGTGTCAATGAAATGAACACAGTGTCAGATATTTTTTTTAAAAAGTGTTTTGTAATGTTGCTAATAATAATTACACCCAAAAATATAGTCTGTCTGAAGCCTGCCACATAGAAGATGTTCTGAACATTCTTGAAATGCATGTCATCCAATCCTTTGCATTAGAGAATTGGGCAAGAGTCACAAATTAATATTTGAGCTGATGATTGCAAATATGGAAAAATCAGTTAATAGAACAAGACCATACTGGTGAAAGGCAGAGCCAAAATGATGCCCTGCCTCACAAGGTATTTGCTGCCATTTTCTTGTCCAGTTTGGTTGATAAGAAACCTATAATGTCCATAATTCCATTATCATTGTCACAAAGTTCCTTCTCCTAGAACATAGCTTGAATGCCCATCAACTCTTCTGGTGAGTTGTGAAGGAATGTTTGGAAACAAGGTGATCTCTACTGTTTACTTTAGTTGGCGGGTATTCAACAAATGTCTTGAACAATCTCTAGGCATGCGTGGATCTGGATGAGGAATTAGTTATTGGCTCAGCATATCTGCACTGGCAGGTGCTATAAAAGGGTGGTTTTCATTTTGGTTTTTGGTCATTTTAATTTTCATTATTGCTGAAAACAATGGCTTCCTGGAACAGAATGGGATAAACAAGCTTACTGGCATCCTGAGAAACATCATCGTTTGTGGTATATTGGGCAGTGTTGGTATTTGGAAGAAAAAGTGTAGAGAATACTGGCATTGGTGTATCCATTCCCTCTCCAGTTCCAGAAACATAAGAATAGACAACTAAGCTATCCGATGACCATTACTGTCACTGTTGCGAATAGGTTAGCTAAGCAGACTTTCTGTCTCTCAATATTTTCTGGAATATCTCTGGGTGTCCTATCCTTACTCCTTGAAAAACACCTTGTTGCATTCTGCCAAAGGAGAATACGTGTCTGCATCTGTTCATATCCTCCTCCTTCATTGTGTCACAATTTAGGCCTTTGCTGTGATCTTCTTTTTATCTGAATATTTCTTCCCCTCATCAGAGACTCCAGGTCCAACTGTGCCAAACAAAACTGCCCTCAATTTCAGGTAATTAACTGGCATTTCTAACCGGGACTATTGGCCTTGGACTGAACAGCACTGAAGATGGCTTCCCCAGCCTGTGGTCAGCTGCTCTCTATTTAGCTGTCTAAATAGCATCTCTCTTGTCAGACTTTCTGACTCCTAGTCACCAGAACAATAGCAATAGCAGTTAGACTTATATACCGCTTCATAGGGCTTTCAGCCCTCTCTAAGCGGAGTCAGCATATCGCCCCCACAGTATGGGTCCTCATTTCAGCCACCTCGGAAGGATGGAAGGCTGAGTCAACCTTGAGCTGGTGAGATTAGAACCGCTGAACTGCAGATAACAGTCAGCTGAAGTGGCCTGCAGTACTGCACCCTAACCACTGCGCCACCTTGGCTCTTTCAGTCACCGCTGGAATCAGCAGGTTTTTGTTTCTGGAACAGGAATCAATGAGATGGTCTGGAACAAAAATGGACTGATGACATCAAGTCTTTGGTTGCTGTCATCTCTCTCTGAAGTCTTGCCAGTGCTACAAGAAAAAGTGTGTGTGTGTGTGTGTGTGTGTGTGTGTGTGTGTGTGCGTGCGTGCAGGGG